TCAGAGGGTCAGTCCATTATCAACATAGGAGCATGGCAACATTCAGGCAGATGTGGGGCTGGAGGAGGTGCTTAAAGTTCTACATCTTGATGCAAAGGAAGACTTGAGAAATATGACTTCCACATGGCTAGGGGAAAGGCCATTCCTACATTGACATACTTGCTCCAACTAGGGCACACCTTCTCCAACAAGGCCACACATCCTAATATGCCACTCCCTGAGCCAAACATATTCAAACTACCATGCTGGAATACACTCAATGTTGGTCAAGAAGCATCTTTTTGAAGTGAGTCAGTACTGAGCAGCAGGATGGATCATAGTCCCAGTGGAAACAAAATATGTACTCAGCCCTATGTGGCCATTGTCATAAACTTCTTACACATAACCACCAAGACTCAGGGAATAGCACAAAGGATGAAGTAGAAAGAATGTAAGAGCCAGCTGATGCAGAAAATCTCTGTGAGATGCTGAAATGTGGACATGACATAGCTATCCCACTCAGAAACTGACAGGAGCTGTGGTTGCCTATATGCAACTACACAAGATCAAGACAAATAAATTCTGGCATAGATGGGGAGGGCCCTCTGCATTTAATAATTCACTATTGTTAGGTGAAAGGTGCTCCAAAAAAAAAAAAGAGATTCAATCCCTTTTGAGGGTGTGGTCACTGGTAGTTTTTCTTGCTCCAGTAGGTGCCCTGCATCCATGTACCTATGAACATCACTAATTAAGAAAACATGGTTTAGAGGAGAACATGTTAGTGCACATGCAGGGGAAGCTTGAGGGGGCAAGGAAGTGATGGGTATGATTATATTTCATTCTGTACATGTATGAGATATTCAAGAAAAAGAGATTATTAATACAGAAAATCAGTGGGTTGGAGTATTTCTTCTAGTATTTTCTATAGGGATTTATTTGTAGATAGATAATTTTTTACTTTGGATTTGTCTTGAAATATTTTATTTTCTCCATCTATGGTGATTGAAAGTTTTGCTGGGTATTACAGTCTAGGTTGGAGTCAAGATTTTTAGAGGTTGCAACATATCTATCCAGGCTCTTTTAACTTTTTGAGTCTTTGTTCAGAAGTCTGTTAATTCTGGAAAGTCTGTCTTTGTATGTTACCTGTCATTTTCCCCTTGCTTCTTTAATATTCTTTCTTTGTTCTATAGATTTTCTGTTATGTTTATTATGTGGGAGGAGGATTATATTTTCTGCTCCAGTCTAACTGGTATTCTATAGGCATTGGTATTTTTATACTTATCTCTTTCTTTAATTGAGAAGTTTTTTTTTCTGTGACTTGTTGAAAATATTTTCTGGGCCTCAGAGCTGGGACACTTAATTTTCTCATATTATTCTTAGATTAGTTCTTTCCATGGCACTCTGGATTTTCTGGAAGTTATGTGTCAAGAATTTCTTAAAGTTAACTTTTTCTTTGATTGATGTATCAATATCTTCTCATGTATTTCTACACCTCAGATTCTCTCTTCCATCTACTGTACTCTGTTGATGATGCTTGCATCAGTTGTCCCTGTTCTCTTCCCTAATTTTCCTTATCCAGGATCCCTTGAGTTTCTGTTTTCTTTATTGCTTCTATTTCTATTTCCCTTTATTGCTTCTATTCTGTCAGGAAAAAAATATTCCTGGTGTGGCAGACTTCTAATGGATATCTTTGGGTTGTATAGTTCTGGATCTACAGGTCTGTATGGTTCAGGATCTGCAGGTCTGTTCAATAGCCACAGATCTGATGAAAGTGGGCAGATGGGTAGGTGGAGAATGGAGGTTTCCCCTGATATAGTGGACTGGCCAGGGCAGCTTGGTTTGCTGCACAAAAATTCAGCAAGCAGGAAAAATGGCTGGTGAAGGACTCTATTGTGGCTCTTAATTGTGCTTTCAATTAAGGTGATTTATTCCACTCATAATGAAGTACTCAGGCTGTTTACTAGAGTTCTTTATTTAGTTGTATGGGAGTTTATGCAAACAAATAAAACAGATGCCTCCAAGCTTTGGGGCAAAGCCTGTACATGCACCAGCAATCTGTCTTATCTCCACAAGAAAGGAAGTTGTCTTCTGTTATGTAAAGTCAGATTCTAGAGAATATTCCTAAAATCTTTCAGATTGTCTCTCTTTTTGCATTGCAGACTAAGTCCTATGATCAAAACACTTGTTTGTAAGTAGTCGATAATAGAGGAAACAATTGAGATTCAGAACATTTCATTTTTTTTTATCTTTACCAGCATCAAAAGACAATCAGGGAATTTATCCAGATTCTTCCCACAAATACAGCTGTATAAATTATCACAAATAGTATTTTCTAGTCTTGTTTTAGATAAGAACATAATACTCCATCCTTTACACTGTATTTCATTATGTTCAAGGCACTGAAGAACAAAAACAAGTGACAACTCTTTAATTTTGATCATTCACTGGAATAAGTAATGATTTTAAAAATTCTATTCATGAAAGAAGACAGAATATTTAACTACTAATCATAAGGTCAACACTATCATATGTTCTTTTGTGTAATCTCATTAAAAAGAAAGATCTCTTTGTCACAAAATAATCCCCATCTTTTTTCACACTTGCAATTTTTGATCAGTGAGAAAAAATGATTTTCAATATTTCCAAGGATTTATTTTGTATTGAACCTGCTCTCCCACTTAAATCTTGTGGATAAAAGTGCTAGGATAAAAGTAAAAATAGATGTATGTGACACACAGAGCATGAACTCAAATGCTTGTGGTTTTAAGGAGAATGGGAATATCTGAAAATCAATCACAAATGAAGGCTTGTAACTAATGTTTGGATTGTTCTCTCCTTTTTCAAATCAAAAGAATTGATATCATCAAAGGTTGGAGAAAATGAGGGTTAATGTGGTTCAAGTTCCTTATGAAACAAAACATCACATAACACTGGAAAACAAATATTATAGCTCTGAATATTTACCAAAATAGATTAGATTAGATAGATAGATAGATAGATAGATAGATAGATAGATAGATAGACTGATAGATGTGAGGAAAAGACCGCTGCAGAGTCCTGGAAGTTTTCCATGCCAGCGGGTCTCACAAACAGGAGAAAGGTCTGGAGTTTCAAAGGCTGGAAACTTTGGCTGTGGCAGGCCCCAAAGACACGAGAAAGTCCACAGTTCCAACAGGGTTTATTTTCATTGCAGATAGTAGATGGAACTGGATGTACCCCCGTGAATCTCAAGGCAGACCTGAGATAAATAATGAGGGAGAAAAGGGGAGGGTCTGGGGAAGAATGTTTAATTGTCTCCACCCTCTGGCTTTCATTAGTAACTAAATCTCTCTAGGGCCTGAGGCCTGTAGTCACACCCTCTACCTGTGCACTTTGGAAGGGTCTGCAATGGACTATGTGACTCAACAATTTAGGTCCATGGAGACTAGACTACCTGTCAGGACCCTGGTTTTTAGGGACATGGCCTAATGCCTGCTGTTTCTCCCTTGGAGTCTCAGGGTTCCAGGCCCATGCTTAGCCAATAACAAAAATATCCTTACACAGTCCTACAGATAGATAGATACATAATTGATAGATAGATATAAATAAATGTATAAAATATATTTCACACAGTAAAACACAAAAATTGGCATGACATCATTATTCAAAATTGTTAAAACTTAGAAACACATGATATGTTCACATGTGAATGGAGGAATACCATGGTGATTTGTGTAACAGAAAGATCTGGGTAACAAAAAGAATGAGTCACTGGTTTGTGAAAATAGTATAAGTTATCTGAAAATGAGTAGTAAAAAAATATGCAGAGAAAATGAAGTCAAATACAAAAACTTGCAGAGTATATTACACTCTGAACTAGGCCATACTAATTTAGACTATAAGACAGTATATGTACCTCTTCATGGGGTGTGCAGGGAGGACAAGGAGCAGAAAAGTACTTTGAAAAATAAAAAAATGTTTCATGTTAGAGCTTGATGGCTCTCTTAGTCTGTATTTTTCTTGTGATGAAAGACCATGGTGAAAGTAACTTGAAAAGGAGAGAGATTATTGTGTTTACATTTCCACATTACATTTTATCACTGAAGGAAATCAGGACAGAAACCCAAACCTGACAGAAACATGAGGCAGAAGCTGACACAGAGGTCTAGAAAGTGTGCTGTTCATTGGTCTACTCCCCATTGCTCAGCCTTCTTTATTAGAGTATCCTAGACCACAAGCCCAAAGGTGGCACCCACAATCTTACTGGCCCAAGCACAAAAATTGCTAGTTAAGAAAATATCTACAGGCTTATTTACCACAGCCTGACCTCATTATGGTACTTTCCAAATTGAGGTTCTCTCCTAAGATATTATTCTATTTTGTGTCAAATGGACATAAATCTACTTAGCACAATGGCGCTTGTAGAGTTGTGCTTATTTGATTCAAATTTTACTTCTAATGACTTACAGTACATACTCCAGCTTCATGATCAAAACCAAAAAGAAATTGCAAAGCAACCATTTTGAAACTGAAGGCCACAAAGACATTACAAGTAAATGTACAGCATGATATTGATACTTGGGTCATACTAACATTGTCCAGAAAACTAACACACATGAATATGAATCATGGAATAGAGCATACTAATTATTAAATTTGTTGAGTTTTATCATTGTAGTATTATGCTGTGAAAGAGATTGCTTCTCCCTAGAAAAATGTTTATAAACAATTTACATTATTATTACTGCTGGTGTCATTGTTAGGATTCATGAGACAAAGATTCATTCTATACAAAATGATGTTCAAATGTACATGTAGCTTTAATTCATGTATGTAGAATGATTGTAAGTCTGAGTCAACATGCCTAACTGGCCTCAATAAATTTTACTGTATCTATGGGCTTACATCTTCCCATCAAATAAAGCAGAGAGAGACAAAGAGAAAATGAGAACAGATGTGGACTCTGGAAGATTCTGTGAGTTTCTTGAACTAGTCATGACAATGAGTTTTACAGTGTGAAATCATACTTTACAGCACACAAATCCTTTTTTAAATTATTTTATTTATTAACAGTCCAGTCATTGCCCACCCTCAGTTATACTTCCCACAGTTCCTCATCCCAAAAGCTTTTTAAAAATTTCAACTTCTTCTACATTCAAAAAATACCACATAGTAACTAACCAACACATAAACCCCCACAACAGCAAATACGATATTGATTGTGCTATCAAAGCCATGGGATATAGAAATATCCTAATGACGATGTGATATGTACATTATGTATGGTATTCTCTATGTGGTTCTCTGTGTCAATCAGGAGACAATGTGAGTGAATCTTTAGGATCTTGAAACAAAGTGTGTCCATTCTCCACATGCAAGCTGCTTCATGTGTCAGAAAGGAATATGACTTCTTCTCTATTAAGCCAGATTTCAGAAGAACATTTCTTCCCTTTACAACTCATCTCTCTGTTCACACAGCAGACTGAGACCTGTGATTGAAACTTTCAGTTGATACCTCGTCACAAATCATGACATGAAACAAACACAAAAGATAACCTTTCATTTTTACCTTTCCTTCACACTGCACACTGATGCAGGAACTTTGTCCATTCTCTTTTCACAGATACAGGGATATTTTTTACCACAGTCATCACTATGTATACCTGTCATACTGAAAACTGCACAGCCTCCTGTTTTCTTCTCTGATTTCATTGCCATCAAATCACTATAAAACAAAAGTATAATAGGCAGTCATTAAAATTTGAAGGTTATATTGTAGAAGCCAAGATGTTTGAAACTAAGTTTATTGACTAAAATGTATAGAATATGGAATTAACTAAATGCATATCACTAAAATATTTTTATTTTCCCTAAACTCCTAAAATACAGTCTTGGACAGTGACTTGTGTGGGTTGAGACTGCTGACACCAAATCTGACCTTGTCAGTTTAGCCTTCAGATGATATGCAATTAAAGGAGAGACCTAACTTCATTCAGCTGAAAACTCATGAGTTGTGACCTGTGCATGTATATGCACATAAATCCACACAAAAATACAAAAACAGTAAAAATAAACATAGAAATTGTCTCTGATCATGACTCAATGCATTTTCCTTTCCATACCAGTAATTTTGTTCAGCAATCAGAATAATTTTTCAGCATTATTCAAATAATAAGGGATAATTTTATACTGAACTTATTTGTCTATGATATTTTGTGCTATGATGACAGCTTGAAAGGAAGAAATAAATGTTTTTGGCACCCAGTATAAAGTCTCATATGCCTTATTTTTAAAGAGAAAAAGGAGATAATTAATTCAGTTGCAAACAATTGTTTGAAAATACAATTTGATTGTTTTTCTTTTGAGTTCCCCACCTCAGAGCTAACAGATCTATTCAACACAACTGCAATCTCAGCTGTTTGGTTTATTTGGTGCCCCAACTACCTTCCTGTGGAAAGAATTTTAAAAGTTAACTAGAAAATAGAACAAAAAAGAGGAGAAACATACCTATGAACTCATCATTTGGGAGTAAAAACAAGTTATAAAATTTCCTCAATATATTTGTGAAAGGGGATGATATTGTTTCCTACATAGTTTAGGATTCAGTTGAGGTGAGATTCCTAAATGATTAGCAGAGTGAGGCAGCCAGTCTTTCTCCTAAGAAGTATGGCAGGATGATTAGGAAATCTATAGAATTGACCTTTCAAAACCTAAATAATTAAGGTGGAAAGATTCAGGGGTGCACAACTGTAGCTTTAGCATTTGGGAGACAGAGGCAAGAGGATCAGGAATTCAAGGCTGGCTTGAGCAAGTGAGTTTGAACCATGCTTGTAATATGTATCAAAGAAGATGAAGCAGGGGTGGAATATACAGAACTTAGAAGGCAAAGAGAAAATCTTCAACAAAAGACAACCTTCATTAAGACATAGATATAAGTTGGGGAAAAACAGACTATTCTGATGTACCATAGGAAAGCACAGAAAGACAAATGGCCAAGTGGCCCATGAATCATTTACATAACAGGTAAAATGCAGTAGGAATGAATATACATATTAGCCAGCCATGAGATATGATGAGAGCATTCAATAAAGCATTGTGATGAACATGGGCAAAGAGAAAATGATCCAGCAGACACTAACTATTCACAGATACACAAGAAGCACAGTCTGAATCATGACCTCTTGATTTTACCTCACATAGTGATGCCTACCTACACCTCTACCCAAGAAACACAAGTTAGACTCACAGCTTCTCACTGGGTTCATTAGAAGCTAACATACTTGTAACAAGTATCCAAGTTTATGCATCTTCCCATTGGAGAAAATGGTTGCAGCAGCCACAGAAAACTCTTAACACCAGGCTTCCTTACTGAAGACTCAGATCTGGCCCTAGTAACACCACCACCACCACCAGGGAACAGTTCTGTAGCATAGTAAAGGTCTACGAAGACATTTTAATCTGGATGAAGGTGTAATCTAGTCTTCTAGTACCTCACTCCAAATGTTATCAGCTATCTGAAGACCTAGCTATGTCACTACTGTGGATATATACCCAAAAGATGCTCCAATGTTTCACACAGACACATGCTCTACTATCTTCTTAGGAGCATTATTTATAATAGCTAGAGCTGGTAACAACCTGGATGTGCCTCAATGAAAGACTAGATACAGAAAATCTAGTCTATTTTCACAATGGAATAGAACTTAGCTATTAAAAACAATGACTTCACTAATTTGTAAGCAAATGGATGAAACTAGAAATTTTTCATCCTGATTGATGTAATCCAAGCCTAAAAGGACATATATGTTATGTACTCATAGATAAGTGAATATTAGCCCACGATTTCAGAATACCCATGATACGACTCACAGACCATATGAAGCTTAACAACAAGGAAGGCCAAAGTGTGGAGGATTCAAACCTACTTAGAATGGGGAACAAAATAATTAAGAGAGACAAAGGATGAGAGGAACCAAGGTGGGAGAGGGGAGGGAGAGTGAGAAAAGACCAGATATGGGAAGAGACAGGAGAGAATTCCAGAGGGCCAGGAGAATGAACAGACATAAGTGGTAGTGGTGGTGAGAAATGGGGCAAGCCACTAGAAAGTTCCAATTACCAGGAATGACATAGGATTCCAGGACCCCATAGGGATAACATTAGATGAAATACCCAACAGAAGGGAAAGAAAACCTGAAGAGACCACTTCCAATAGATAGATATAACTCCAATAGAGGGACGGGGCCACCCCGCCGAATATCAAAATTTTTAACCCAGAATTATCCCTATCTAAAGGAAATGCAGTGACAAAAATAGAGGAGAAACTGAAGCAAAGGACATTGAGAGACCTTCCCACTTTGGAATCCATCTCATCAGTGGACACTAAACCCCCACAGTATTGCTGATATCAAGATGTACTTGCGGACAGGAGCCTGGTATGACTATGCTCTGAAAGTCTCTGCCAGCACCTGACTAAAACAGATAAAGATACCATTTGCAACCATTGGACTGAGCTTAAGGACACCACTGAAAGATTTGGGGGAAGAACTAAAGGAGCTGAAGTGTATTGCAACCCCATAGGCATAACAACAGTACCAATTAACAGGACTCCTCAAAGCTCTCAGGAACTAAACTACCAAACATATATATATATATATATATATATATATATATATATATATATATATATCCCTACACATAGAGCAGAGGATTGCCTTATCTGGCATCAGTGGGAGGGGAGGCCCTTGGTCCTGTGGAGGCTTAATGCCCTGGAGAAAGGAAATGCTAGAAGGATGAAGAGTGAGTGAGTTTTTAGATGAGTGGGGAAGCATTATCTTGTTAGCAAAGGGGAGGGGGATGTGGTGGGCAGTTTATGGAGGGGAAACCTGGAATGCACACAAGTAAAATAATTTAAAAAAACAACTTAAACAGAGAGAGAGAGAGAGAGAGAGAGAGAGAGAGAGAGAGAGAGAGAGAGAGCATGCATATGAGTGAGAACATGAAATTGGTTGTGGATGAAAGTTGGGAATGATATTGGATTTATGGAGTTGGAAAACCTGAACAAAATATATTCCATGAAAAAATGTAGCTAAATAATCAAAATAGAGCTGGGTGTGGTGGTGATGCACACCTTCAATCCCAGCATTTTTGAGGGAGGCTGATAGGTCTCTGAGTTGCTAATGCCTCTACACTTGCTTATTCACCATAACTACATGGTAACACCCTATTGCTGAAGATATAACACACTGTGAAACCAGGACATAGAAATTTAGTGTAAGATCAATCAGAAAATACTTTTATTTGGCTACATTTCAAAGGGTCAAATGCACATCACAGGCTGTTGGTATGACAAAAGATATCAATTGCTTTATTCCCACCATGCCTAGCTACATACATGCTAAGCAAGATATGCTCATTGGCACCATTGTTAGTGGATAACTAATTGCTTTGTTACTGGATGTGAATCATTTACCACATGAGGGAGATCATGTTTTAAATTCTAATCAAATCAAAAGCCCATGATTGGAGAGATCATAAAAACTAAGGCAGAATTTTCTTTTACATAGTCATATTGTAAAATTGCATTATAAATTATTTATGTTTATTTCCTATAGCTTGATGTCTTAGTTAGGGTTCCATTGCTGTGAACAGACACCATGATCAAGGTACAATTTATAAGGGACAACATTTAATTGGGACTGGCTAACAGTTCAGAAATTCAGCCAATTACCAAGGCAGAAGCATGGCAATATCCAGGCACATAGGGGACTGGAGAAGAAGATGAAAATTTTACATGTTGATTCAGAGGCAGACAGGAGAAGATTGGCTTCCACATAGATAGAAGAAGGGTCTGAAAATTCGCCTTCACAGTGACACACTTTCTCTAACAAAACCAAAAATACCTCAACATGGCCATACTTTCTAACAGTACCACTCCCTGGACCAAGCATATTCAAACCACCATATTACACTCCCTGAATTCTATAGGTTTTTTCAAACATATGAGACTATGGGAGACAGCCTTAAACATAACTTAATGCAAAATGCATTTAGTCCAAGTACAAAAGTCCCTATAGCCTATAGCAGTCTCAACAATGTTAAAAGTTCAAATTTCAAAGTCTTTCTGAGATTCAATCCCTTAAAGATAATCCCCAATACAAAGATAATCAAGCAGAAGAACACATACCTCCAACATCACATGATACATAATACCATTTCAAAATTCCATACTGAGGAAATACTGGACTAAACCAAGACAGGAAACACCTAGGCAGCTCCAAACTCTGCATCCCCATGTGTGTTATCAATGTATTCTTCAGATCTCTTACTCCTTTTTCATTTTTGTTGACTACAACGAACTTCTTTCTTCATGGCTGGTTCCATTGCCTGTTAGCAGCTCTGTTCACATCTTCTTTTTCCAATATCTGTGATTCACTCAAAATACTCTGGGTTCCTCCAAAGGCCTTGCATCTCTTCTCCAGTTTTTCCAGTTTTTGTAGCATTCTAGGTTGTGGTTGAGCCTACTCCACTGTAGCTGCTGTTCCTGGTGGTGATCCCATGATACAGGCATCACCAATATGCTCGGGTCTTCTGCTGCAATAAGGTTTCACCTATAGCCTCTCATAATCTCTCTTCATGGTGCTAGACTTCAATTTACTTTTATGACCCCTCAGCCGTCAACTGACACTGAGGCTGCACCTTTACCAATGGCCTTCCCTGGCCACTCATTGTGCCATGCTTTAGCTGTAAGAAGCCATAATCCCTTCATACCTTCAAAACTAGTACCACCTGTGTGATTCGTACACAGATTACCAAGGCCATCTGCAGCAAGAGGTGCCACTTTATCTCTGTCAAACACAGCTTCTTTGTGATCTCAGAAAACACTTGCCAGCAGGTTTCACCTCAATGATGCTGGTTTCTTCTTAATAATCTATAATTACTTAGGTCAAGCTAATCAGCATCCTTTTATTCTTTACTGTAGATCATTATGGCTGAAGTGCCAAATTCTACTACTTGCTAGGGTTGGAACAAATCCTACCCCCTTAGTTACTGGCTTTCAGTTTTCCAACTCCCTCACTGACTAATCTTAACTATTCTGAAACTTGCTCTGAAGATTGACTTTGAACTCAGAAATCTGCATGGCTCTGCCCTCTGAATGCTGAGATTAAAGGCATGTACCAACATGCCTGGATTCTAAGCTTTTCTATATCTAGAACTTGCTCTGTCCTTGGCTGGCATTGAACTCCAACATCTGCTTGCCTTTTCGTCCTGGGATTAAAGAGGTGTACCACCATGTCTGGACCTAAACTTTTCATAGCCACTGTTCCTGAAGATCTGGATCAAAAGTGTTTGAGGAATGTCATAGCACTAAGTACCTACATAAGGAAACCAAAAATTTCTCTTACTAACAATTTAAAAATACACATGTAAGCTCTAGAAAAAAAATAATCAAGGTCAACAAAAAGGAACAGAAGGCAAGAAAAATAAAAAACAACACATAGAGAGGTCAATCTCAAGATCACAAACCTCCAACATCACAGGATATATGGCTTTCAAAGTGTTAGTAGATGCTTGGCTAATTGCAGGGGAGAAAAACATGAGTAGTTCTATCCTGCACTTGACCCTGCATGCTACCATACTGATTTGCTAGGAAATGTAGGTTATAGTATAAATAGATGCTTTCTTATTGGAACTGGGGCTTTATTTATGAGGGAATAATATTTGGCATTGTAATCTGAATCAAAATCCAATATTGGGAAGGTCACAGTACTTAGATTGGAACTTGCTACAATCATTCTGCTAAGTGGTCAGGGGGTAAAATGCATTCTTAACATATATAGTTATAGCCTAGATCTATGCTGCTCTGAACCTCAGTCAGAGAAGCTTCTTTATGCGGTGGGCCATAGTCCTTGCAGAGAGGCAGAACTGGTCAATGTGCTTAGTAGAAGTGTTTATATGACCGTCCCTAATGGTGATATCTACATCAACATCTCTCTATCCATACCACCACGAAGACTCAAGGAACAGCAAGGAAGATGACAGAGAAAGAATGTAAGAACCAGAGAAGAGAAGGAGCTCTGCAAAATGCAGGCTCTGGACAAGATGAAATCTCTGCAAAGATTACTTCTTCTTAAGGAATAACTATTGTTAGGTGACAGCTCTTGGAAAAGGGAGATTCAATTCTTTAATGGTGTGACTACTACTGGGCTTCCTTGTTCCAGTGGATAATCTACAACCATGCACATATGGACAGTTAGTTACAAAGATATGACTTAGTGGGGGTACATATTACAGCTTTTAGTAGTACTAGGAGATAATATGTTCATATATTATTTTATGTATTTGAAATAGTCAAGAACAATATATTTATTAATAAAAAATCAGTGACGAGTTTTCTACCAGATTATGAATAAACAAAAAATTGAGATTTATACAACTAAACACCTTGAAATAGATGGTAGGCATACATATGTATGTGTATATAAACATGTTCTCATATTTATAAATAACCAACAATTATATAAGCTAACAATAGTAAAAAATGTCACACGAATATCAGAGAGACTCAAACTCATTGTATCTGTCATGATAATTCAGTCACTTCACACCATCACAAGTTGTTGACTTCCTAGTGCCTGTCACAACATAGAAGACACAGTCCTGAGATGTATACATTCTTAAGCCACTTTTGGTCAGTCCCTCAACCATGCGTCTTCCCTCTGTAGGACTTGCTCAGAGACTCCCTTATGTAACTTGACCTTAACAATGAGCTCCATAGAAAATGAGGAAAGCTATGTGAAAGAAAACAAAAGCCTTTGCACACAATCCTTCCAATTCCCACACAAGTGATATAGTCGGAAGGGTATAGAAACTCACAGTTTAGATGGACCATTGTCAACCCAATCCCATTCAATTTTTTTATTATCATATTTCGGTCCAATCCAGTAAGTGTCTGGAATAATCTGGCACCGAAGGAGCTCCTGTAAGGGAAACAACACACCTTATGATGAAATTTCTGTCTGTTTGATGAGAGGAGAACAAGCAAGAAAAGTTTGCAACATTCCTGTGCCATTCTCTGCTGTCGTGTCCTCCCACCGCTCAGTCCCACCATGTTCATTTTCCAGAGTGACTTCCTACTAGTAGCACATTTATATCAAAACTGTCAGTTCAATAAGTTATTTAAAATAAAAACTTCAGGTGTCCTCAGATACTGGGATGATGACATGATTTGTGACTGTGTTATTAGATCAAGTATTACTATGTAACCAAGGCTGTCCTTGAACTCACAATCTTCCTGCTTATGGCAAGAATTTTTTAGATTTAACATTTTCTTTGACTAATGTTTCAGTTTCTTCTATTGTGTTTTCTATACCAGAGCTAAACAGAGAATTCTCAACAGAGGAATCTCAAATGGTCAAGATGCATATAAGTAAATGTTCAAAGTACTTAGCCATCAGGCAAATGCAAATCAGAACAACACTGAGAACCCATCTTATACTATTAGGATTGTATAAGATTAAAAACTCACATGATACCCTATGCTTGCTAGGATTTGCAGTGAGGAAACATTCTTCTATTGATGGTGGGAATGGAAACTTGTACAACCACCTTGGAAATCAGGTTGGTGGTTTCTCAGAAAACTGGTGATAGTTCTACCTCAAGAACCAGCTATACCACTCCTGGGCACATTGCCAAAAGATGCTCTGCATCTACAAGGAGAGTTGGTCAACTATGTTCATAGCAGCTGTATTTGTAATTGCCAGAAACTGGAAAAAACTTAGATGTCCATCAGCTGAAGAATGAATAAAGACTGTGGTACATCTACACAGTGGAATACTATTCACATATGAAAAACTAAGGCATCATGAACTTTGGAGGTAAATGGATAGAACTTGAGAATACAATCCTGAATGATGTAACCAAGTCCCAAAGGAACATGTGTAGCATGTATTACTTACAAGTGGGCATTAGACATAAAATACAGGATGCCCATGCTGTACTCAACAAACTTAAGGAGGCTGAACAGGAAGAAGGAAACAAGCATGGATGCTTGAGTGTCACTTAGAAGTGGGAACGGAATGGTTATAGAAGTCACATAGTTGAAAAAACTGAGTAGCAGAAGGGATGAGGTGAAGGAAGGGGTGGGAAGATGTGCTGATGGCCAAGAGAATGAATGGAAGTCTGCAACTGATGAGGGAGGTGGTAGGGGACATCTCCAGGATGAGATGTAGACCAGTGATAGGGAAGTGCACATTAATCAATAGGGGTGTCATTTGCTGTGACTCACAGAATTGGGGTATGGAGCCTGGGGAGGCTGCCTCCTGTAGCCATGAAAATAACCTGTGGAAGCAATAGAGACACCAAACTACCCACCAAGTATTCCTTCCAAAATTTATCCTGTCTACAAGAAATGCAGACATTGGAGATGGACCAACGAATGAGGGAGGAGCCAACAAATAATTGCCTCAACTTGAGACCCATCCCATGAAAAGCATAAGTCCCAGATCCTATTAATCATACTCTGTTATGCTTGCAGACAAGAGTATGGTTGTCCTCTCTGAAGCTCCACCCAGCAGCTGACACATACAGATACAGACAACCATACCAAACAATGAACAGGCAGGACTGTTCATTGGGGACTCATGGTAGAATAAGACGAAGGATTGTGGGTCCAGAAAGTGATAGGAACTCCACAGGGAGATCAACTAAATCAAATAACCTAGATACTTGGGGATCTCAGAGATTGTCTTGTAATTAACAAAGGTTTCAAGGTAGTCCTGCAATTACTGCTCTTGAAAAGTATAATTTTCATATTTGAAGAGACCTCATTTATAATAATTTAAACAGGAAATATGAGAATCTTGGAAAGTTTTCTTTAAATACCATTTCTAAGCATGGATTTCTTTTTAACTAAACATTAGAATACTATGCAGTATAAATTATTGGCAAGGTCTGTGAAAATCACCATGGAGTAAAAATTAAATCCATTTAATTCCTTGGTTCTCATATGATCTCCATTGTGCAGACAGGCACAGATATCAACTAATTTCCCTATTGTTATCTGATTACTCATCTCACGTAGCCTTACTTCCAAATTCCAAAGAGTAAAACCTAGACAGCGGGAGTTTATTTGGTACTCTATAGAGATAAATAACTGGCAGGCATAGGATGTGCTTTACCAAAGAGTTAAACTTCATCATGGAAGAACAGCTTTCTTAGGGACTCTCTTGTAGACTCCAGAGACACAACTGTCTCTGTATTCACAAGTCTAGGCTTAACAGACCTGTGTCTCACAGTTTTGTCCACATTACAAGGAAAGCAAATACAAATGAAAAGACTTGATTCAGTAGCTCATTATTCAGGGTGAGAGACAGAGACTAAGAAAATAAAGGGGAAAAATTAGTGTCTACAGTACCTGTTCATCCTTATCATCTATCTTCAGAAGTGATAGGCTGATATTATGGCAGGTCTGAAAACATCCACTCCATTTTCTATCATTGTTGATGAAATAATAACATTTTATACCATAGCAGAACCAGTGTACTTCACCTCTTCCTGCAAAAAAGAAGGTAAATAAATGGTTAAACTTATTTTCTGTCTTTCTGTTACAAAAACAATGTATTTATTAAGCCTGTGTAAAAAAAAAAAAAAGTAAAATCTCACAAGTCCTAGAAATTGAGACCCCTTCAATTTCTCATGCCCAGAGACCCCTGCATACTCATGATCTATGGAACATTTTTAGTAACACCAGCAATACAAAAAACATTTTGTGCATCAATCATGGCTGAATCAGTATAGAAAATGTAGCACATACACACAGAAGAACACTATTTATCTTTTAAAATGAAATGAATAAGCACAGCATGATGACTTATGCCTATAAACTGAGTACTTCAAAGGTACAGACAGTCGGGTCACCACCAGTTAGAGGCCAAGTCTAGGCTATGGGGTGAATTCCAGTCCAGCCTTGGATATACAGTTCTAAGTCACCCTGGGATGGAGTGTAACATAATGTTTCACACTGAAGCCCAAACAGAAATTCTGATGTATGTGATGAACAAGGATGAACTTGAGGATGATGTGCAAAGTGAAACACACCACATCTAGGACCACACTTTATGATTCCAGGGAGATCAGGCTTCTAAAACAGCCCAACTCTATGAAGCAGAGGCTTGTGAGATGCCAGAGCCTGGAGAAAAGGCAATGAGCACCTGCTGCTCACAGGGAGCTAAACTGTCAACAGAATTCAAGACCTGCAGTAATGCATTGTACGCACACTGGTCCACACACTACTAAGCTCTTAGTATTGTGCCCTGTTCTGTGTTAAATCCTCTACCTTAAGAGAAATGAGAGACATAAGAAACATGTTTCGATGCTGATAGTCTGTTCTCCTGATTATGTTGATGCCCTCAGTGTGGTACCCATATGCCCAAATGTTTCAAGTTGAATAGTTTGTTTAACAACATCACCTCAATATGAATATTTTCTTTAATGAGGTGCTGTGAATGTCCATGCTTTATTGACAAATGTTATTTCTAACCTTCATTTTTCTGTGAAGAGCTATCAATGTGTAGCTCAGGCTGTCCTGGAATTTACTGGGATGTTCATATATTCCTGAAAGTTATTATCCTCCACCCTCAATCTCATAATCTTAGGGATTACATCATTATGATACCCTTTACAGATCATCAAGTTACTTTAATAATTAATTTCTTTATTTTTGCAAGACACAGATGTTTATTGAATCCAGATCCAGCCTGGCCTATAACTCAAAATGAAGGGCTCAGGGAAGGCAAAGTTTATAATACTTCTTAAATGGAAAGTCTCTTCTGCCCTAATACACCATCTGGGATTGGGCAGATGTGACCAGAGCTGGCCCCAGGACAATACTGAGCCTGTAGTCATTACCAAAATATACATCTGTCACCATAAAAAACTGCTGCATCACCTCAGCCACATAGGTATAAAATCATAAATATTTACACTTTTCCAAGACTTTCACAGAACCAGGGTTCAGGGAACACCTCACGTAGAAACAGGCTAGGATAAAGGTGGGCATCCAGGAGGGACATTAAGGCCTAGAGGTCTGACTCTCAACTAGGCATAATCAGAGACAGGCAGAAAAAAAACTTTGGCCCAAAATGAGAAGGTAGAAATCCACAAGTCTCTGAGCTATTTCTCCAGCCCTGGCCTGGGCTCACCTGCAAATTTGTCACTGGAAGGAAGGAGCATAGGGGACACAGAAGCTTAGATTACACATATACAATTGTATCATTGATACAAAAAGTTACTTAAAACTATATCTCTTGCATATAAATGGAAAAGATTGGGATATTTGGTCAAGTGGAAATATGGCTAGGCACAGGTGTCTGTGACCACACTGAACAGAATACCAAGTCACATGAGACTCAGCAGCTGTGGACAGCCTGATCCCTCTGGACTGAGTGGCCCCAGCTTTTGCACAGCATTGGGGAGCCTACATATAGGCCACCTGGCTCACCTGCAGGTCTAGAGGCAACTGGTTGCCTTAGAGTGTGGGTGTGCGGACATGAGCCACCCTGGTTTGTAAGGCACAGAAAGCAGCTGTGTTTGGGGCACTGCTGTGGCCTCACACCTAAGCCTCTCAAGGCATGGTGCCAGGACTTACTGAGCCTCTGTGGCCCAAACCAAAGTAGACTAGATTTAATTTTTTAAAAAACAGGTAAACTTATCTCTCTAAAAAAATAAAATCTCTAGTCTGTAAGGTCACTTCAGCTGCTTTTTAAAGTGTCTTCTCTGGAATGGTGGAAGCTGTCGCAGACCCACAGGCACCTTGATGCTGGACTTTGAAAAGGACAGTCGCAGGTGACGATTCTTACACAAGTCATGTTTGTGCAGTTCAATTAGCACCTACACTCCCTCCTCTACAGAGCCCATCTGGATAAATTGCATATTGTGGTTCTTTTGACCATACCACCACTGCTGGACAAGAGGCTCTTGAGGTCATCCTCTGACACAGAGGGCAGAATGTTGGAGAGGTGCAAGGTAGCTGAGGGTGGAAAGATATTTTGGAAGTTCTTGCATTCTAGTTTCTTGAGGTCTTGCAGCCATGAGCTGTCATAGTCTTTGTCAGGCCCTGATCCTCCTGTCACACTCTGATGGCAGCTTCACACTGTGATGCTTTGACAGTGTTATGCGAACCGACTTCCTGTGCAGCTTGTGCCTGTTCCCATGTTTCATGGCCAGCTGAGCCTGTCTCACATCTGCCACCTGCCCAAGTGCATTCTCTTTCTGATTGAACAGGATCTTCACCCATTTCACATCACCATAGATGTCGAAGGGAATAAAGAGGCGTTGAGGTGTGACTCTCTCAGAGTTTAGGTTGCTGAACAAAAAGACACAATTCCCCGAACCTGCCAGTCCTGCAGCAGTGTCAGGGGCCCCAGAGCTACATGGATATTAGGGACAGACATCTCTGCAGCCTGAGGGATGGCAAAGGTGGGAGGGAACCCAGCTCCTGCATATGGAAAGGCTGACATCATGCTAGATGCACCAAAGGCTGCTCTCATGGTTTGGTCCAGTGAAGGCTGGCTGTCTCCAGAGGGTTGGTTAGGTCAAGTGTAATCTCTGCACTTGTCATTGTTGTATTTGACTTGAGACTGGTGAGCTTGGAGAAGTAGATGCATGCAGCAGGCATTGTAGATGTTCTGGGCATCCAGGGACAGCTTGGCTTGCTGGGCGCTTACAGGGTCAGCATACTGCAGCAATGCCTGGAACTGGTTTTTCTTGGTGAATGTGATGATCTTCAGGACTGTGCCAAACTTGAAGAAGATCTGAGGAGGCATGTCCAGGGTCACTGGGTAGAAATGGTATCCCACAATGATTCTGAGCACAAGGCTCTGGTCTGCCATTGCCATCCATGCATCCATTGCGGCAGTGGAGGCTACCAAGGCCAGGTTTCCAGACTGGGCGAGTTCACAGCCTGCATGGATGCCTGGGCACTTGCCTGGGTTGAGTAAGTTGTTGGTTTTGAGCTCCTTGTGGGTGGAGAACTGGATGTATATGGACTCTCCACAAAGCACTGGCACCTCCAAAGTGTAATAGTTACCCATAGTCTCCTCTGTGTTCCTTTCAATGAAGGCCTGCCTGGTTCTTCCCCTTCAGCACAGGGAGGTTGGTACCTTCCCAAAGGGCTGCTCCAAGGAGATGACCTCCCTCTCAGTGATATCACTGGGTAGCTTGCCGACATGGATATCTTTGGGAGGAGCTCCTGTGCTCCTATTGTCACCTTTGAACTTCTTGCTATCATTTCCATTGGCTGTTGAGGCTGACCTGCTCATGATGAAGGGACCATTTCTGACACATGTGGAGAACAGCTCCTCAGATCCACAGTTTGTACCGACAGCTTTGTCTGGGATGATGCTGTTCATGACACACAGAGGAGATCCATGGTGGATGGAGCAGAGGCACAGGAATCACAAAACGATTTGTATGGGGATGGAATACTTCAAAGGTTGTTTTGGAGCTTTTTTCCCCTGTCACAAATTTTACAATGTTTTAAATATATTAATCCTGACATAATGAGAATTATTTACATTCTGCTATATCACAGAGTGGTGATATTATATACAGGAGCTCTTTAATATCTCCAAATCCTGAAAAAAATATTTAATGATAATTGATACACTGTTTAAGTTAAAGAGGACAAGTCACACTGAAGGGTAAGAAAGGTTCCATGTGACACTTGATCTTTTCATCTTTCCATCCTCATTCACTGTGTCACTGACAAAGCTGCAATTTGTGCACACCATGGTGAAACTCCCTTGTCTGCTCCAGGGAGGGTTCCTTTTTACAAACAGTACAACTTTCTCACAACATGTCAGATGGAAAAGACACACACGCACACACACATGCACACATACACATACACACACACACACACACTTCTTTTTATAACTGCATCCATGTAAATGCTCTAAGTCCATTTTAGCATAAATAATTGATAAATACACTGTTACTAAAAAGTTCCATGTTCTGTCAACAACAAAGTTGGAGACTCAGATTTTCCAGTACACACAAACAATCTCAGGGGTAGTGATTTGTAATTCTATCCTCAGGGAGAGTAGGAGTGCCAAACAGAACCTGACTTCTAGAAACTCTAAGAATTCCCTAATCCAAACAAGGATTTCTGGGTTTCCAGGCCCCTACATGGAATAAGGAACCCCCAAATAATTAACCCAGAGATCACCAGCATCGTAAGCTGCTGGTTGGACTTCAAAGCTTCCAGAGAAAAAAACAATAAATAATAATGAAATTCTGTATTTATATTCCTCCCCCAATACATACCTATGCAGTGTGAGGAATTTAAAACAGTTTTGGTTTCACTGTACCATCTGTGCTCTTCTCTATAGGGGCATTTCAGAAGATTGTAACCTTCCCTACACTCTACAGACATATTTCTCAGTATTTCTTCCTTTAATTTGATGTCATTTTGCTTGGTGCAGCAGTTGTGGTAGTGATGTAGAATTTTCTGCAGTTCCTGTTTTTCATGATTATACTGAAAAACTGAATCAGTCACAGATACAACATCAAAGATACACATAAGGAGTACATATTGAATGCAAAGATTAGAGAAAAAGCTTCATGTTGACAGCCAACACGTATTATTATTTTCATCGGTACTTTAACATTTACAAATTAACACTTCTATTAACTCACTATTGAAACAGATAAATCAATTTTTTTTCTATTGGTAAATTGACTGTAAAATAAGTAATACAGCTGAATGAAATTATAGTGGAAGTAGCTTTCAGGTACTTCATTCTTTCACCACACAAATTTACAAATAAATACCTAAGTAAAATATTTAGCCAATACTTAGCACATCATGAAAAATTTAACCAAAAAAAAAAACTTTAAGAAGTGGGACAATAGTTATTGGAGCGTATGGAATGAAAAATATCCATACACATAACTACGTTTTAGCACATCCTGGAAGTGATTTTCTCTGTAAATGTGAAGGAATCCAATAAAGTTGAATATTTAATGTCACTGTACAGATGAAGTCTTTTTGCTTAACCATGACTTCAGTATACACTGAAGAACAAGGGAAAGAAGGTCATTGATTTTTGCACAGCTGTTTATCACACAATGTTTCATAAGGTCCACAATCACCTTATCTCTGAAGTCAACAGAAGAAATATTGCCACGAATGAGACCAAAAAGGGCAGTTCCCACAGCCCCAGAGCAGACAGAATAGATTTGTAAAAGAACAAGACACTAAAGTGTGTCAGGGAAAAAAAAGAACATTAAATTTCAGAGATCCTGTCTCATTCCTTGATGATTGGCAGGACAATGGACAGAGTGTGCAGCTGTATAGTTCATGGCTAAAGCTATTCTTTAAGCAGAAGGTCAAAGAAGATGCATCTCAATTACTCACTGTTTGTCACCAACACTGCAAAAATGACCAGCCGAAGAGAATAAAGGATTCCGAGAGCTATCACAATGAGGTACCAGTGGACTGAACACACTTAAATCAAAAAAAAGAAAAAAAGAAAGGAAGGAAGAAAGGAAGGAAGGAA